GCACCACCTCACCAGAGGTCAGCAGCGGCTGTGTTGAGCGCTGAACAGGACTAGAAACTGGCCCTCGAGGCCAATACATCCCATCCTCGCCAGGTGTCGTCGTCCATTTGGTGGGGGTTTCGGGAGCTGACCCACAGATGGCGCAGTCGTCACTGCTCCGTGCTCGGACGCTGGATCCGGGTTCGTAACACGGAGGATTTGCACGCTTGTGGCTTTTTGGCTTCGATCCTGCGTTTCTTTTCCCTCCTGGAGCTATCTTCAGATTGGCTTGCAGAGGATGTTGAGAGGCTTGGGGCCGTTCCTGGGTCTCAGCTGCTTGGGCGTCGTCTGCCATGTTGAAGCTCCTTGCGCCGATCCTGCGGGAGGCGTTGCTGCGGTTTTTCGCTGCGCATTTCGCATGTCGTCAGGCGGTCCTTGCTTCCTCCTTGGAATCCGCTTGGGCCCTGGTTCTTAGTTTGTCTTCTCCCTTTTGTCCTCTGCTTTTTGAGGCTTCTGCGGTTGAGCGTTATATTCAGGGGACTTCTTCCTCTTGCCGCCCAATGTCTGAGTTGTTGGTGCTCCGGGGAAAGCGGGGGGTTCCTTCCCGGCAAGGTCGTACCAGTGTAACACGGGGGGGGGGGGGGGGGGTTCTCGAATGATCTTAACTACTTTTCCTCCCTCTACCCGTATTTTAATTTTTTGTTCTCTACCAAGGGACCCCAAAACTTTTACTTTTAGCCGACCCCACGCCACGTGGTCTCAAGACGATACCGACTTGAGATTCTACAACCCGTATGAAGTGACGTAGACTTCTAGCAAAACCCTAGGGTCGCCTTTACGCTGCCACCACCAGACCTTGCAACACCGAGCAATGATCGAGGTCTGGATCGATCATGCTAATCAATAACTTTGGGGCTTGATCCCCACTAGTAACCGATACCCTTTGGATCTTAAGTGTGGAATTAATTACAAATCCGGGAATGATAATCCTGATTCGATGTTAGAATCGGCGCCCAATTCAACTATGCCTCGTGGGGACCACGTGACAAGGACCAATTCACATACATATAACAAACACATGGAAATTAATAAAAAAAATTACTAGCTAATTAATTTATTCAAAATCTAAAACAAAATCTAAAGAGGAGCACTCCCTATCAATTTAACACTCCCTACTTGGCAATGAATTGGCTATCCCTATAGCAATAGCAACTATACCTCTATGTTGACCAGCTTGGGTGGAGTGCTGGTCTTGGGGGAAGAGGTGAGATGGTTGACCTCCCCCAGTTGATCTCTGATCCCACACTGATCTCTCCTCGCCTCGTCTGGTCCTACCCAGACCAGAACATTGTATCCTTCCGCATAGTCTAAGTTTTACCAAGTTACTAGCAAGGTTTAAGTTTAACAATTAACCTCTGTTTGTACTGAATTGATCCAGATTGGTTGAAATATTTTAATGAAGTTAAATTACACAAGCATCTTAAGGAAGGGCTATTCCCAAATATAAAATGGCTATTTGACCTTTGAGAAATAGAGGACATGGAAACCTCTTGTGACCTGTGACCGCCAGGTCACTCAAATTCTTCCGCGCCGAGGTCTAGTCATGGATAGTGACGTCACTGATGGTGACTTAAACTCATTCTCCTAATAATTAGAATACTCTTGATATTGTACCCAGTAATATTATACAATACAATTTTAATACAAAATGAATGAAGGCTAATTTCTCTAAATTACTGAATACTATAGAATGATTCATTATACGAACTTGTGAACAAAGGCGACGGTTATCCTCACCGCCAATTCCCCCAGGAGGATGCTCCCATGTGCTTGGGTCACCACACATGGTCCAGCTTCCCATTCTCCCATGTGTAGATAACCATTCTGGATAATTCTTACAACAAACCTAGTTTGTTACAATGTAATTGTAACAATTACAATTGTAACTACAATTGTAATTACAATTGTAATTGTAATTACAATTGTTTGTAATTGTAACAAACACCATTGTTTGTTACAATGGTGTTACAATGTAACAAACTAGGTTTGTTGTAAGAATTATCAACAGATTCTAGCCCTCCTCTCTCGTGATCGCTGGGTTCGACCCCCGGGGGCTTTGCGTCGGCTGCTGCGTCGCCGGCTTCCTCTTTGGGTTTTTCAGTGCCTTGGCGCCTGCCCGAGCCCTTGCTCGATGTGTTCATGGACGCGTCGTCTCTCAGCTGGGGTTTTGTGACCAGTGCTCACCAGGCCGGCCAGGGGCAGTGGGGTACGCCCTTCTGTAAGGTCCACAGCATGGTGTAGAAGTTCGCGGTGTTGTGGTTTGCTCTTCAGAGGGTTCAGGTCGCCCACGGATTGACGATCCGGCTTTATTCGAACTGCTTCCCGGTGGTTCATTGCCTTAACCGAGGGGGTTCGATGCGGTCCTTGGTTCTTTGGGGTTTGGTCGCTTCGGGTGACTCGTCTGCTGAGTACTTGGGGTTTGGCTCTCCTGGCGGTTCACATCCGGGGGATGTCCAACGTTCTGGCGGACGGCCTGTCCAGTTCGTTTCCCCTGTCCACGGAATGGACGGTCGATACCGACTCCTTCAGTTGGCTCTGCCGGACGTTTGGGCGCCCGGAGGTGGACCTCTTCGCGTCGGCATGGTCGAGGCGTCTTCCGGTTTACGTGGCGCCCTTCCCCGACTGCGAGGCCGTCGGGATCGATGCTTTTCAGCAGGACTGGTCGAGGTGGGGGTTCCTGTACCTCTTTCCTCTGGTTCAGCTGCTGCTCCAGGTCATGGCTCACTTGGAGACTTACCAGGGTCGAGTGGTCCTCTTGGCCCCGTGGTGGCCGGCCCAGCTGTGGTTTCAGGCGCTGCTTGCCTGGTGTCCGAATCCAAAGGTTTTTCCGTGGTTCCGCCTCTTTCAGGAGATTGGGCCGGTCCGGTACGTGACTGGTTTGCTCTTCTCCACGAGTCTTCATGTTTGGTGTTTTTGACTCGTGTTTATCACCATCTTTATGGTGAGCAGGTGGCTTCCTCGTTGGTTTCTCACCTGCGAGTTTCCTCTCGGCGGCAGTATGAAGTTTCCTGGCAGTCCTTCTGGTTCTTTTTGACCCTTCGTCGTTGTTCCTCGCTTTCAGTTCGGGTGGTGTTGTCCTTTCTCTCTTGATTGTTTCAGGACCGTCATCTGATACTTAATACTGTCTCCTCGTATTGTGCGACGCTGGCGGAGCCGCTGTAGCTTGCTTTCGGTATTGATGTTACTTCTGTGCCATTTCGCAAGCTGTCTCGGGCGTTGTTTCACCTCTGGCCTGATCATGTGCCTCCTGAGCCGTCCTGGTCCTTGGACAGAGTGTTCTTCTATCTTTCTTCTCCTCTGTTTGTTGTGGCCCCTTCGGTTCAAGATTGTTTTGTTAAGGTTCTTTTTCTGTTGGCATTAGCCTCTGGGGGTCGTGTGGCAGAGCTTCATGCTCTTCTCTGGTTTTTCATGCTCAGAGGTTTTGCTCCTTTGGATTGTGGTCTTCGGTATGTTCGTCTGCAGCCATCTCCCTCTTTTCTGACGAAGGAGGAGACTGCTGCTTTCCGAAGGGGTCCTTGGGTTGTGGATGCTTGGTTTGTCAGGCCGGGGGATTCACCATGTGTTGTGTCCGGTTGCGGCCCTCCGCCGTTATCTGCGCCCCAAGGCTTCTGTGTCCGGGGACGTGCTTTGGGTTGATCCGGTTTCCCTTCTTCCCTGTTCGCGGGTTCGGGTCTCAGGTTGTCTGCAGGGTTATTAAATCCAGCCAGCCTGCGGTCTATCCCTGTGCCCATGACGTTTGTAAGTTTGCTGCTCTTGCTGCCGTCTTCGGCAATATGTTTTGGGCTGACATTCGGGCTCGGGGATTTTGGCGGTCGAACAGGGTCCTTCCTGCACACTACCTTGTGAACGTTTCTGGGCCCAGTCGGGCCTGTGCTGCTTTAGGTCGGTGGATGCAGCTCGTTGTCTCGTCTTCGCGTTGAGGAGTGGAGCGCCGACCACCTCCCGGGTAAGTCCCCTTGGTTTTCTTTGGTAGTCTTTGGTGAGGTAGCTCCAGGGAGCCGTAGGGGCTCCCCCCAGAAAACCAGCGTTGAATGTAATGAAACGCCATTAACTCACCAAACGTGGGTGTGTTCCGGAGGCTCCCCGGCATCCCTCCCGCCCTCTGGTCGGCGTTTTTTTCGCGTTTTTTTATATCCAGCCTCTGAACTAGGGCGAAGATCACCGGCTCAGGGGTCTAGGGCTCCCCCTTCCCCCTCCTGGGGAGGGGGGAGCTACGCAGACATGCGGCGCGGCTCATGTGACGTCATGCTTGTTTGCTCGTTTTTCTTTGGGAGAGTTCTGTCCACTCGTTTGTCAATTTTCGTTGTTAACCAGAATAGGGGATTGTTTTGTGGCGCATACCTTTCTGGGTGCCTGTCCCGGTTGATGGCAGATATAGAATGCTCCATATCACGTGCATTTCTATGGGCCATTGCTCCTCGTGCCTCTGTGAGAGGGCCAGGTTCTGGCTCATGGTCCCCGGTAGGCTAGAACTCCACCCACATCGACTGATGCAAAATAGTTAGGGTATCCATATCAGCCATGGATAGCTCCGGGAAGCCTTCGGGACTCGCCCAGAAAATGGCGTTTCATTACATTCAACGCTGGTTTTTTAAACATGGGGTCTGTTTACAAGAGCCCTGAGGAAGCTAATGTGAGCCCCGTGTAGCCGTGGACCATTTGATTCGTGCCTGGCACCCTATGGTGTATACGCCATGCACACTGTGGGACATGTTACTCATGGCGTATATATATGCCATGCACAGTTTAAGGGTTAAAAGTAAGGTCTTCTGTTGTGATTTCTCCTAAATCTTTTATAATTCTAAATCTCAATTGAATCCTAAAACACATATGAACTTCTACAAGAGTGGATATGTTATAATACAACCTGACATCATGCAGTTATGTACTAAGGAGTCTCACTTATTTGAATAGGATAATTTAAGGATTTCTCAAGATTTTTATGATAAATTTATTTTCAGGTCTCAAACTGAAGCAGTATCAAGTAGATACGTGGACAACCCGTGAACAGTTATGTCTTGCTTCGGCTGTAATGCGCAGCGGGGACCAAAACTGGTACGTATCTGGACACTTGTTTTGTTTTAAGTGTTAGGTTGCAGTACAGGTAGTCCTATAAGTATCATGTGGATGATGATGAGCATTGAGAGAGAGAGTATGTAAATTTATTACAAATGAGAAATGATAAGTTTGTGACTAAGATTTATGCACATGCAGCTGAAAGGTGGAAGCAGGTAACAAAAAATCAGCATTGAATGTAATGTAACGCCAGATTCTGTGTGTGCCCCGGAGGCTTCCTGAAGCTTTCCCACTAATATAGTGCTATCCTATTTAGGGTCATCAGTCACAGAGTTCTTGTTGCCTACCAGGGACCAGAGCCAGAACCTGGCCCCCTCAGAAAGGCACAGGGAGCAGTGGCCTATGAACACTTTACATTTAAAGTATGTCATACTTGCCATCGACCAGTGAAGGCACCCAGAAAGGTAGGCGAAACAAAACAGACCACTGTCTTGTTGAAAATTGTGACCTATGTCCTCAAAATAGCAAAAGACTCCACCAGAAAGAAAACAAACAAAGCAACGCTTTGTCCAACTAGCCCGTGCTCGTTAGCGCCACCACCTCTACCCGTGGCAGAAGGGGAGGCGGCCCGGGTTAGCTGGGCTACCCACCCTCCAGTTCTTGAATGATGAATGTTGCCGACCGGAGGGAGGGAGGGAGGTGGTCAGGGAGCCTCCGGGGCTCACCCATCAACTGGTGTTTTATAACATTCAATGCTGGTTTTCTGTGGGAAGTCCTGTCAGCTCCCTGAAGCAAACTATCCACAGAGATGGAAAAACAGGAACTTACCCAGGTGGCAGCAGCACTATAGCTCTCAAACCAAGGTGCAAAGACCGCGACAAGGACCTCAAAGTAACACCCAATGCTCCATGAGTGCTTTGGCCCGGGTCCATATTATGGCCAGGAAGGAGTGACTGGGCGCCAATCCTTAACTGTATGGTTCTGTTCACCCAGCAGTGAATGGGTACCTGGTTGTTAAACGATTTGACAGGTTGTATTTCAGGGAAAATTAAGATTAACCACTGCACTGTACAGAGCACCATGTGGCGATGGATGCCTGAGGCCTCCACTGATAGTCTGTCATTTTGAAAAAAAAATCCCAGCATGCCCCACCGTCGCGGCGAGCCTCAGTTTCAAAGTAGCTACCATATCTGATGCATCATCGAGCTCCCAGTCTACGGTCAGCCGCGGTGTGAAAAACGACTCAAATATTGAAATACAGGACATATTGTTTGAAGATGAACATATTTGTGACAATGGAGACTACTGACCTTAGAAAGACCGTACACAGGTGTCGTCTGACAGTAGTGATATGGACAATGAGGTTAACGATGTGGAGAATGTGTACAGTACACGCGCCTTGCCCCGCCTCCCATGCCATCCTAGGTCAACACCAATGGATGTACTGTCACCATCTGTGTCACCTGATGTGAGCCTACTGAGTGATAGTATAGGTGATGAGTCATTTTCTGGGTTCAGCGACATGGCTCAGATTGGCATAGGCTCATAGGCAGTGTTGATGAACCGAGTGCAAGTGGCTTTGGTGTTAGTAGGCAGAGTTTTGCTGTGCCAGCAACACGCCGAGGCAAGCACCAGCGTGTCACGCGGCCTGAGGACAAAGACGACAGTGTCCCCTTGACATCAGGTGTTTGTGGTAGGCCTGTACTACGTAAAACAGCCTCATCTAATGCCATACTCATACGCAGCTCTAGCACAAGACGACGGAGCCATATTGTTAGGGCCTGTTCTGGTGGTGCTAGTGCTCAGGTAGGCTGTGCTGTTGGCGTCAAAACAAAAAACATGGGTGTACTTGTGTGATTGTAACAATTTTGTCCCACAAATTCCAGCATTTAATGATACTGATGTTGGTGTGACACCCCTTATTCCCCTATACTGGTGATGATATGGCTAAAATTTATTATTGCATATTTTGATCAGCCATTTATGGAGCATCTCGTTGCAGAGGCGAATCGATACATTCTGCAACTCATTGCCTCTGGAATTTTACCTGCCTCTAGAATGACACATTAGTAAGACATGACTATTAACACTTTCGCGCACCCCGCCCGCCACCCCTCAACTGTGCGATATGGGACCCAGGGTGTCACGGGAGCGCGCGTAAATTCTGAAAAGTGTATACTCTCTTCAACTTTGTCACCTTAATTCTCGTCCTACGAGATTAAATTTTGTATCATTGTGTTCACAATAGAATTCTCTACAGCACTAAATGCATATAAACTCCAAAAGCCCGGCTAATTACCCGCAGCAAACAGAGAAAGTGCGAACGAGTTTCCCAGGAGCACGCAAACGCGATAAAATGTTTTCGCTATTTTCACTCTGGTCACCTCAATTTTCGTCCTAGGTCTTTCATTTTGGTCTCAATGGGTTCGCAATAGAATTCTCTATAGGAACATTAGCATATAAAATAAAAAACCTGGTCACGCTCCAACCGCCGACGAGTTGAAGACGGGCCACGCGTTAGCCGCAAGTGAGCGCTCAGATGCCTTCCAGCTACACTCCCAATTCCCGCCCTTTTCAAGCCTTTCTTTCGCAATTTTCTTCCTGGAAGGGCCTTGTTCATGATCACTATCCATCGTGGAGTAAGCGTAGATAGTTTCTAAAGCCGCAGTAAGAAATATAGCCACGGAAAATAGCCGAAATGTTCACACGTTTGAGATGCGAGGGGAGGCAACATTGGTCACAACAGTGGAGCGAAAACAATGGGCCCACGGCGTGTGCCAAGCCGCCTGAGGGCCACGAGGCTCAACAAAGAAAATGGGAAGACATCGGCGCGCATTTTAAAACCAGTCCCCAAAAAATCGGATAAAAACCTGATTTTTGGCGATTATTTAAAGTGGATGACGCAATGCTGCGTCATCCCCGGGCGAAAGTGTTAAGGAAATTTATGTGTTTTTAACATTGTGCATGATGATGAAGCATGCAGAAAAACATGCAATCCAGGATTATTGGAACAAAGACAGCCTTGTTCCAACCTCCTTGTTCAACAGGTACATATCACGTGACAGGTTCCTGCTGCTTCTCAGGTGCCTGCACTTTGAGAACAATGCTAATGAAGAAAGACATGACAGATTGTGGAAAGTGCGGAAGAAATTTAGTGAAGTGAGAGGAAAGTTCCGTGACTACTGTATTTTGTACCAGCACAGAATGCCGTAAAAGATGAATCGCTAGTTCTCTTCAAGGGACAACTGGCTTTCAAGCAGTACATTCCATCAAAGCAGCACAGGTTTAGACTAAAGTTCTTCGTGTTATGTGACTGCAAAACTGGTATTGTCATGGACATGATACTGTATTTAGGTACAGACGTTGATATACCAGGTCAAGATCCACACGGGTTTTCAGGCAATGTTGTGAAAACACTCATGGAACCATAGCTGAACAAGGGACATATTCTCTACACGGACAACTACTATACCAGCTCCTTGCTGACCAGATTTCTCCTAGACCACAACACCGACCTATGTGGCACTGTCAAGGCCCACAGGAGGGAAATGCCAGTGTTTGGCATTTGGTACTGGAGGGTGAATGCCAGCTGAGAAAGTGTGATAAAATGTTATTCGTGCGCTGGAGGGACAGACGCGAGGTGAATATGTTGACAACTATTTACATGCCATGTAAATAGTTGTCAACCATGTTATGCCATGTTGGACAGTGGTAAAGTCAACTTTGCAATGGGAAAAAAATGTCTAAACCTGATTGTGTCATAGACTACAATGTAAATATGCATTTAATAGATAAATGTGACATGATGGTTGGTGCTGTCGAGTGCATGAGAAAATCTGTGAAGTGGACCAAGAAAGTGTTTTTCCACCTTGTTGATGTTACAGTGCTGAACTGTTTCAACACGTATCTTGTGAAATCTGGCAAGAGACTACCTATCTGTACATTCAGTGTTACTGTAGTATCGCACCTACTGGTAAAATATGGGGTGGAGGGCAGTGTTGTGATGCGTGGGGTGCCAGCAACAATGCCTCACACACTTCCTGATACTCAAGTGTTGTGATGCGTGGGGTGCCAGCAACAATGCCTCACACACTTCCTGATACTCAAGTGTAAAGATTGCCTTGCTGTATACAGTGGCGCCTCGATTAATGAGTTTTATGCTTTCTGGCACCGAGCTCGTCATGTGGAAAACCTGTTTTGCGAAATAACAACAAAACTGTTGTCAGAGGTGTCCGAGAACCAGCAAAAACGCTCGTTAATCGAGCGATAGCTTGTCAGTCGAGACATATTTTCTGTGAGTGGCTTGCTTGTTACTCGAAATGCTCGTAACTGGAGCCGCTCGTCACTCGAGGTTCCACTGTATAAGCTTGGTTATATGCCAAGCACAGAAACATGTGAAAAGGGTAAATGTTCCTGCGTTGGGTGCAAGAACTCGCTTAGTAGAGAACGGAAGCGAAGATCCATCTACCCTTAGTGCATTGAGTGCAAAGTTTTCTTGTGCTACATTGACTGCTTTAGTGATTATCACACACTTGCACAGTTCTAAGTGTTTATAGTGTTGTATATAGTCTGTGATTGTGTACAGTGTGTAAATAAGTTGTAAGTGTAAATAATTGAACATGTAATATAGAAAATATGAACAATGTTTGTGGAAACATTTGTGATACATGTAACACAGTTTCTTTGAACAGTACGGATGTTCTACTGCCTTATTATTGTAAACCTGTTGAATATACATATGATTAACCAGAAGAACAAAAGAAATGCATTTGTAATTATGCGGAAAAAAATGAACATAAAAATATTTGTGGCAACTCGCTCTTGTTGAGTAACAACTCAACTCTTGCAACTCGCTCTGGCAATGCGACTGCCTCCAGGAGTCAACGCCATGGGCGACCACCAAGCCGTGACGTCACACGCCATTTTCTGCATACTACAAAGTAAGTACATTTGTGCAATATTTTCATTATATGTGATCAGGGAAGGGGCTTTTCAATTTTTGAATGACAAAAAATTTTTTTGCATAGAATTTATTTTCG